CCAGCCAAGGTGCTGATGGTAGCCTTTGGAGGTGGCAGCATATTTCCCTGACCCCCTGTTGCTCCAAGTGAGCCAGGATGAGGTGGGATGGGATACTTTTCATGGGATACAAATATAAATTTCCTGGGCCATGAGGAAGACTGGGAAGGGCTCTCTATAGTTTATTAGTGAAATATGGACAAATTAAACATTTTTTACTTCTTACAACTATTTTTTCTTTTGTCATATTTCATAAGATATGAAAGGGGCCTTCTAGGACTGCTTCAGACACTGGCAAGAATGATGGAAAACTGTGTTAGTGAAGGAGAATTGAAATTTTAAATAAAGGCCGCCCAAAAATGCCCACCAGAACCAAGCAGGCATGCCTGAGCAAGCCTGATAACAGAGCATTTCTTCCTTTGTGTGACCCCTGTCTTTAGTGAATGTGTAACTGATGGCCTTGCAATGTAACCTGAGATGTTTTAACACCCTTGGCAGCCCATGATGTCACTCCACCCACCAATCATAATGCACCAAATCCGTTGATGTACCTCCCACTTGCTCTCCCCTGAAAAGCCCTGAAACCTCCCCAGATGGGGCTCTGACTCTTTGGGAGCCATCCCAGGTAGGCCCACTGGTGTAATGACATTGCTGTCTCCTAGACCTCCTCGGTGCCATGTCTTCCTGCGTTCAGTCCATTTTTGCTGTAACATTAGAAGTGAGGGGGAGTATTTTGAGGGGGATGAATGGCAAGTATCTTTTGCTGTAATAAATTTTTAACAATTCACCCCTTCTGAATTTTGATCATCCTTTGTATGGCAACCATGAATATTTACGGTCATTTACTCCTCTAGGAAAATCCTTTTTCTCAAGAATGGGAAAAATACACATATATCACTAAATTTAATCATAAGTCAATAAATGTGCATGTACAATAGATATACCAGTAAAATGTATTGTGAGGATGGATGCTTTTGTTTTGTTCATGGTAGTGGTCTCTGCACCCAGACCAGTGACTCTACCAGCGCCTGATGTGAGATGACTGAAAACTTCCTGAATGGCTACATGGACTTGCTTCTGATTATTGCAGGTGCTTCAGTCAACAAACATTTATGAAGTGCTTTCTGTGTGCAACAGTGAGCGTGATGGTGATCGAAAAAATTTAAAAGACACTGCTCTTGCCCTGATTGAGCTGCTACTCATTGCTGCTCTGGCAAGCCACATGCCTGTGAAGTTATGGAGGACAGCAAGGAGAAAGGTATAGCAAAGACACAGGAAGACTGGATGTCTTCTGTGGAGAGCTGGGGCAGAAGACTGGAGGCCAGTTGTGCAGCCAGGAGAGGTCCACCTGGGGAAGAGGCTAAGATATGGCCTAGGGCTGGGGAGATAGCTCAGTGGAACAGCACATTCCTGGCAGGCATAAGGACCTCAGTTTGATTCTCAGTACAAAGAGAGAGAGAGAGAGAGAGAGAGAGAGAGAGAGAGAGAGAGAGAGAGAGAGAGAATATGAGAACTCCTAGGAGGGAGAAGCTGACTCCGGGTTACTGAGGCAGGAACAAGGAAGAGAAGTAAACTGATCTCCAGTGACTGAGGAACGAAGTCCGAGCAGAGGATGGAAGGTACAAGGGCATCAAGTATGGCAGATAGTGTTTGACCGGGCTCAGCAGGGCCAGGAGTTCCAGGCCATGTCACTGCTTTATTAAGGTATGATTCATATCCCATCCAATTCATCAGTGCAAGGTACACATTCAGCAGTTTCTCCTTAGTCCCAGAGTGGTACAGCCGCTGCCACAATCAGTCACAGGATGTCTTCATGGCCTTAATGGAAACCTTGTGAGCTTCTATCTCCACTCCTCCAATTTCCCACTCCCACAGCCACTAGTCCTCTTTCTATAGATTCGCCCCTTAAAGATTTCCATATAAATGGAGTCATGTATTTGTGGTGCTTTGTGACTGCCTGTTCTCCTTTACAGGTTCCTCTTTGTGGCCGAACTACATTTCATGTACAGATAGACCATGTTTTGGTCACCGTTTCATCAGCTGATGGACACTTGGGTCTACTTTGGTTATGATGGACAAAGGCATTATGAACATTTGTGTACAAGATTTTATATGCACATCTGTTACCATTTTCATGGAGTAATTGAAGTGGAATTATGCCACATTCCTGGGGAGCTGGGATTCCTCCCTGGCAAATTCCTGGCTGTGTTAGTCAGGATCATATCTTTTGGAACCATCTCTTTTGGAGCAAAGACATTTGGCAAGTTTTCTGAGTTTACATGGTGTTATCCACGGGAATACACTCATGTCACTGAGCTGTTTAATTCCTTCTTCCACCATGTGCCATGGCAGCTGGGGCTGGCTTACCTCCCTTTAAGTGGGGTGATCACTTCTTCCATGCTTCTGGGTGCTAAGGTCGCTTCACGCGTGTACCATACTCTAGGGTTATTTTCAGGATGGATGATCTTATATCCCAGGCAAGTGCTTCCAAACTGAGCTGCTCCATCTTTTACAATGTTTCTCCCAGCCCTTGGCACACCACATCACTTGACTACTCCGGTTCCTGATGCTTTGCATGGGTGAGCTCCGGAGGACCACAACCCCACTTCTGCCTTTTAAACTAACCCAGCCAAGCCATGTCTTGTGATTTAACCCTAATAGTTGGCCAGTTAGCCAACAAGCCTTACAATTGTACCTCTGCTTTACTGAAAACATTTTAAATTAGTACATATTTGTGATACATATTAAATGCATTTATCATAGAGAATTAATACAAATTCTTTATTTTAAAGGGAAAAGAACTAAAACAAAATAACAAAACCAAAACAAAATAAAAACTATAAAAATGATACAGAATTTCAGACAAGATGATAGGAAATCAATAATGGTTGTTGTATTATTTATTGTTATCTTCAAAATCGTTGCTCAGATTACCAGATATAGGTATACGATTGCTCAAACAATTAAACATTAACTGTTCCTTTCAATAAACCACTGGAAATTAGTAGTACAATTATCTTAGCTATTGTGTGTGTATACGTGTATGTATATATATATATATGTTTCCATTTCTTCTTTCTTTCTTTTCTCTTTTCCCTCATCCCAGTTGTTCTTTCCTATTAAGCAGTTTCTTTCCCTTTCACAATATCTATTGTATCTTTCACTTTTGTTTACTCTTTCAGGTTCTTACACTAGGGAGACAATATGGTGTTTACACATGCAGGTCTGATTTATTTCACTTATGAGTATTGTCTCTAGTTGCATCCATTTACTTATAAAAGCCTTGAGTTTGTCTTTCTTTATAGCTGAGTAATATTCCATTGTATAAAAATAACACATTTTTCTTATCCACTCCTCAGTTGATGGGCATTGTGTTGTTTCCAAAATTTTGCTATGACAAATTGTGCTGCTGTAAACATGGGTGCACATATATCGCTGTGGCATAATGTTTTTAATTCGCCTGGGAAAATACCCAGAAGGGGAATGGCTGGGTTAAATAGTAGCTCTAATCCTAATTTTTTGAGGAATCTCCAGACTGATTTCCACAGCAGTTGCACCAGTCTACATTGCCACCAACAGTGGAGAAGAGTTTCTTTTTCCCCACAGCCCCTTCAGCATTTGTTATTGGTTGATTTCTTGATGGTAGCCATTCTTACTGTGGTGAGATGAAATCTCAGTGTTGTTTTATTTGCATCTCTCAAAAAAAATAATTTTCATCTCTCAAATGACCAATGTTGAAC